TATATATATATATATATATATATATATATATATATATATATATATGTAATATATGTATATCTTTAAAAAATTTTTAAAAAATATGCTATGTAAGTCAGCAAAGGCTACAGTAAAAAGAACATATAAAAATCATACCAATTTTGAGGGACCAAAATTAATTTCGCTGTAAACCCTGAGGAGACAGAGAATAGGAAAAATAGACTGCTGGATAATATCCTTTCACTTCCACGGAGACATTATCAGCTTTTAATTCCTCTTAGCTGGATTGTTACTTAAACACCAACACAACATGCACTCACTTAGTCTTGTCAGTTGTGGCCCCCAGAAGCAGACACCATGATGAAGGTTGACACAGGCTGATTACGCCTGTAATTCCAGAGGCTCAGGAGGCTGAGAAAGTAGGATTGCAAGTTCGAAGCCAGCCTCAGCAACTTAGTGAGGCCCTAAGCAACTTAGTGATAACTTGTCTCACAATAAAAAATAAAAAGGTGAGGGTGCTGGCATGTTGCTCAGTGGTTAAGCACCCTTGGGTTCAATCCCTGATACCAAAATAAATAAATAAGGCAAGGAGATATATAATGGGGGTGCAAGATAAGGAAAAAAGGGAGCAGCAAGAGTAGGCAAAGATAGTCTATAGTTTACAATGCACATCTGTCATCTCAGAAAGTGAGGAAGGAAGACTGCAGAGGAAGAGCCTCAGACTATGGTGCAACTCTAAGAAAAGTTCAGTCAGCTCAATGGAGAGCTCTAGTGCATAGATCATTCGTAGAGGAGGAGTTTCCAATTTGAGAGGAAATTGCCATGCTCTAGTACTCTTGTTATGCTCAGTCACTAGTATCCTTGTTGCATTTAGTCTCTCCAGGGAGCTAATTGGAAAGAGTTGGAAGCTGTCAACTCACTATACTCTTTGTGACAAGCTTTCTCTTGAGAAGAGATCTAAGTGGCATCCCTACTTCCATGGCTGACACAATTGCCATTGAAATTATAGTGACCTTCGAAACTTGTTTTATTCTTAACAATAATATAGCCTTTGAATGCCAAAAAATGTATTATCTTAGTAATATGGACATTTTTATCTTGCAGTTATTGTGAAAATAAATGATATACAAGAAAAAAAAATACTCGAAAAGTTTCCAGGGAGATGCAATAAGACCATCCATAAGAATTCAAAAGCAAGGATTAAAATGACTTCAGGCTTTCTAACAGCAACAGCAGAAGTACAAGGACAACAGAGTAATATTTTCAAAGTGCTGAAGGAACTTTGAATTAGAATTTTTAATCAAACTAATCATTTAAATATGAAGGTAAGGGGCTGGGATTGTGGCTCAGCGGTAGAGCGCTCGCCTAGCACATGCAAGTCCCTGGGTTTGATTCTCAGCACCACATAAAAATAAAGAAATAAAATAAAGGTATTGTGTACAACAAAAAATAAATAGATAAATAAATATGAAGGTAAGAAGATAAGAAGTCTCAGAAGTTTAATCACATACAGCCATCATTGAAAATACTTTTGGAAGAAACATCCCATGAAGAAGAGAAAAGAACAGTTAATAACTTTTAATGTGTGTGTTTTTTTTAAACTCTACCCCCCAAAAAGAAAAAAAAAAGTGTAAAGAAAGAAATGAAAAAAGGTGATCAATAGGTGCTCTGAGATAAACTAATAAAAATGTCAACATAGTTCGAGATGGGGAAAATTGGTAGGAGTTGAAAGGGGCTAAGACACTGATCTTTTACAAAGAACATATTCATTTTGTGTTAGGTGAGATTTTTCCAGAATCATAACCTCCTCTGGGAGACATAGAGTACCTCTTAGTGTTGTTTCATTCAAGGGGATATTTACTCACCAACTCTTTATTGATTGAGGGCTATTTCCATGGGCAATAACTCCCTAAAGAGTCCAGTCTACTCTACATCTGACTAAACGTCCTCCAGAGACTAGGAGATTCTCTGGATAAAGGTCCCAAGCTCTTTAAGGAAGAAATAATTGTCATATATGATTGTCTAGTCTGCTTTCTGTTTCTGTAATAAAATACCCCAATAAACCTTCTTGATTCCAGGCATACTTCTTTGACTCTTCAGACCACAGTTTCTAACCCTGAAAATTTCAGTTCAGGCAAGTGC